ATATCTTGATGATATTCTAGTTATTTCCAGGAGCATGAGGGTCATGTAAGGAAGATTTTGCAGAGACTGTTGTGAAACTAATTCTTTGTGAACGCAGTGCAGTGTGAATTCTGTGTGTCTGAGGTTTCTTTTTTTAGGATTTGTGCTCAGGAAGGTAGGCATTCAAATGAACCCAGCCAAGGTGGAAATGGTCATGAACTGACCTCAGCCAACATCCTGCAAGCAACTGCAGCGCTTCCTGGGGTTTGCAAACTTCTACAGACGTTTCAACCAGAATTATACTCCAAGGCAGCTCTCCTCACTACCCTCACCTCTGTCAAGTGTAAGTTCTCCTGGTCCTTGGCTGCCGAAGCAGCGTTTCAGGAGCTCAAGTAACGCTTCACATCTGCTCCCAACACAAACCATCCTATCAAAATCCTGCAGGCCATCTATAACCTTTTCCAGTTCCTCATCAACCTTGTTCTCAAATATCTCTAGACTTTGTCACTGGTCTGCCCCCTTTTCAAGGTAACACAGTCATTTTACCACAGTCCAATAGTCTAACAGAATGGAAAAACCGGGATATAAAACAGCCTTGTGGTGTGCCGCCTCTTACGCCCCCTCCTCCTGGTCCAAGCAGTTGTGGGTTAAGTTTGCCCATAACACACTGCCCACCTCTGCAACTGGTCTGTCACCTTTCCACTGCTCTAGAGGGTATCAGCCCCCACTCTTTCCAGAACAGGACAATGAAGCCAGTGTGCCTTCTGTGCGTTCATCAGAGGATGCCACCATCTTGAGCAGTGACAAACACAGGTGTTTCACAGGTAAAAAGGTAGGGTGTGGCAAGCTGGTATGCCCTAAAGGAATATCCATGCACCATGACAGCAGGGGGATCATTCCCAACACATACAGAATATGTAACATAGTGGAGAGATAGTCTCTTCACTCAGATAACCTACATAACTGAGCATTTATACACCACTGATGATATGTTTTGGATGAAATGCAACTACTGCCTGGATTGTGTTCTTAAATTCAGTAAGTATTGCAATGTGTCTTCATTAGTATGGACTGATTATCTCGCAATTGCTCTCCATATGGAGGGCAGCAGAGAAATCGTGTAACTGTCCCCTTGCATGGAACCCATGCTCTCCAATATTTAATAATTCCAGGCAGATGATTGATGGCCATCCTATCCAGTTCTCCTTTTGGAGAGAAGAGAGTTTGCACACTTGGGGATATTTTTGGGGATGAGGGTTTGCGCTCATTCCAGGAATTATTGCAAATGATTGCTTCAAATCTCTCTGATATGTTTGAGTGTGCTGTCCCTCATTCGCCCATTACACTTTGTTTGGCTAAACACTGGTCAAAAAGCAAGTGCTTTTAGCTAGGCTCACTGCAGCAAAAAAAAATGATCACAGGGCGATGGTAACCACTCCACTCTCTCTCCCTTGAAGTAAAGGGTCTAACATATTTTGATACTGTGTACTTGGAGCTATCGACAGCCCATGTACATGGGGCAAGCAAGTCAATATGTGGAGTCTGATATCAGCAAAGCTCAAAAATCATTTCGTATGAAAATTTCATGAGGAGCTGTGGCCTGGACTGAGGGTGGGGGGTTGGTATAAGTGGGATTTTATTTTAATTTTTTTTCTTGTTGTGTTGGTTTTGTCTTGTTTGGTTATGTTTAGTTTTTGTGATTATGAACACTGTGGTTACTCATTTCAAGAATGTCCTCATTCCTTTCTTATTGGTATATGTCATGTATGTTATAAACAAAGTTCAATTCAATAAAAATTTGATATAAAAAGGTATTATAACTGTTAAGTGTTAACATTATAACTTATTGAAGTCAAACATGTATGTGACCTCAGGTCACTGTTGACAACCATCATCTTACCCAATAGAAACTAAATAAATACATAGTCAGTGACTGTTTTTCAGAAGACAAAAAATATGTATAGTATTATGTATAATGAGGTAAGTCCGACTTTGCAGATATGTTCATTTGCTTCCTCATTCAGTATTTATTTTTGCTAATGCAGGGTATTGCCACATGTGACAGGGACACAGACTAGTCTGTGGTGTGTGTAAACTACTTGTTACATTAAGGTCAAACCCTCATTACACAAGAGCTCTGTTATATCCTGTTTCTATATGCACAGTAGATTATATTTTTTGCAGAGTTCATGGAAATGCAGTCAGATCCAATGCTGACATAAATTCTGTATCACTGAGTTCTATTCGCCATTTTCAGCTTATACTATGATAACAATTCGAGAAATGTTTCCTAATTTTAAGTCTAAGTATTGATCATGGGATGCTTGAGGGAAATGTTCCTGTATTGTGTCTTTGCTCATTTACACATGTTTATTTTTGATGATTTTGTAAATACTTCCTTGCCTTTAATGAAGTCAAATTTGAATCTTTAATTTCAGCTTGATAATGATAATTACTTATATGTAATGATATTAGGATATTTTTCCTCACTGTGAGTTGTCAGATGACGATGCAAAGAAACACTTTGTGTAACTGTTCTGGGGAGCATGAAGCCCTTAAGGGCTGGTGTGCACTTTTCACATTAAACCATCGTGAACAAACAGTTACACATTAAGTTATACCAAGAATGCCTTCATGGCCATCTTGGGGTGCAGAGAGGTTTTTGTAACATTCAGTTTACTGCTGTTCACTTACTTCATTCCCTGTTAACGCCACTTAATGCCAAGTTTAGCATAAGAAATAAGTATTTACTTTAATCATTGCTGCTAACAAAGTCTATATAGTATATATTAATATAATCAATGTGATCTGAAACATGATTTTTCGTATTATGGATTCAACAAGTTACAAGAACCTTGGGCTGCTTCACAGACCCCCACCATTGATTTTATCACAGCTGATCACTCACACGTTGTCCTGGTTATCAGCATCAGCACACTGGATTGTGTACTCACCTGGATCTGCAGGCAGGGCTGCACAGGGGCCCTCCGACCTTTTCACCTAAGAGCTGATTTGAGGTCTGCCAAGCAGGCTAAAAGGCTGAGGCAGATGAAAAGAGTGCCACTAGTTCCTTGGAGGACAGTGTGAAAAATCCCAAAGCAGTCCTGAGCAGAAAATTATAAAGTGCCAACTCAGAGAAGTTTCCTTAGTGTAGGAGCTAGTGTGAGTGGAGTGCTCTCTGCACTCCTGATCTGCAGCCTTCAGTTCCAGGGTGAGGATGATTCAATTGGTCACATTACTCTGTATGGAGCCTATTAGTGTTCTGGAA